ATATATATATATATGACATGCAGTTAGGATAAAGTGGTTGCATTGTTACTCTATAATTTGTAACCAGATTTACCAGTAATTTAAAATAAAAACCGACTAGTTGTAGTTTGTTCTGAGAGTTAACAGTGGTGTCTGACCTTCAGCACTATGATTCTTGACTTAAAGAATGTCAATTATTACTGTGTGTTTACACTTCCTTCTTCGCCCTCAGGTGAGTGCAAGTGAGGATGACGATGCCGCATGTTGGGGCAGTATTTTCAGCAATAGCAGGAGTGATGGCCATCTTTTTGCACTCCTCTATTCACAAGATAGAGGAAGGACACCTCGCTGTGTACTACAGGTATCATATAAGTCTGTTCTACAAATGAGATTGCTATTAAGCAATACATTTGACATTTTATTGTATTTTTGTGGGCTCTTTAAAAAAGTGTAAAGAACGAGGCATGTACAGTTTTGTGTACTAAACTGGGTAGAATCAGAACAAGCTGCTTCCTGACTGTTGGAGTACCACATTTTTACTTTCATTTTTTCTGTCATTTGTACATGCAAATTGGTCAGTTCTGAAGTTTTTTAGTTTCAGTTATGGATTTGTAACATTGAGCTTCAATGATTCAAACTCTAATTCAAACTTTAATTGTATTCCTGTTGTTTTAATTTATTTGCCAATTAGTAATGTACTGTATGTCATTCTCATAATAAAATTGTGTGATTAAGTCAGCTTGCTGTTGCTGAAGAAGTTAGGTTTTGCATGCATGTTATGTCAATGTCGTGAATTGTGACCCCGAAATCTGTTTGGATTTGTTTCAGAGGCGGCGCGCTGTTGACTGGTCCCAATGGTCCAGGATATCACATTATGCTGCCTTTCATTACCACCTATAGATCAGTGCAGGTAAATTCATCTTTTACCCCTTGTGAAAAACAGGTGACATCTTCTATAAATAAGTTTGCAATAGGGTTGGGCATAATCGTATCGTGTGCAATTAATCGTCAGAAAAACATTAATCGATTAATTTTTGGCAGTTGACAATTAATACGATTAATGCCACCTGGCAGACTAACCGCTTGGTGTTCCTCTCTGATTCAAATATGACCAACGTTAAAAAAATTGTGTAATTTATTTATCTTTCAACACAATTTAAAGTTTGATGTATAGCCTGAAGTCTGTAATTTTGACACAATTTGGAACAGATTTTTACGAAGAGCCAATTTTCTCCCTATAAATTGGTCATGTGACTAGGACATAAGGGTGTCCAGGGATTCTGGGGGATTAATCGTCAAATTAATCGCTATCGGCTAAATACCACAATTAATCATGATTTATTTTTTTGCCAATATTGCCCAACCCTAGTTTGCAACATCCTGTAGAGGTGTCGGTCAACCATAACTGCTGTAGATCTAGTTTTTGCTCACTTTATATGCTAGTTTGTTCACCTATATATGTTTGAAATAATATGAACGTGGTCAAAAACAGTTTTGTCAATTGCTATTTATAATTAATTTAAAAATATTTACCACATAAATGCCAATTATCTTAAGGAAATTGCTCGGTTTTACACAAATCTTACGTTATTTTTTTTTAAACCAGTTGTGTTCTTAACCTGTGTAGAGATTAAAAATACAGACTGAAGTTAAATTTTATTATCTACAGCAGTGTTTTTCAACCCTGGTCCTCAAGGCACACTCTAGGGATGTTGACATTTTGTCAGCAACTGCTGCCATTTTCTTCAAGGCTGCTCGGTGTGTTTGCTTGTAATTTCCTCCTTCTTCGTTATTTCTACGAATTTCAACAAATCGGGCTGCCGTCAGGTAGTTAGCTACAGCCTCGTCTTCCAGTTTTTAATTTTTGTTGATGCGTTTTGAAGAGACAATTTTTTGAAAAGAGGATCAAAGTAAATCACCCGAGTTTTTCTAGTGACCCCTTAAAGAGATAAGCTGCCATGAAGAACATTATTTTATCTGCCCTTGTTCCACATTTGATAATGATTTGAAACGTCAAAGTATGTTTTTTTAATCCGAAGTAGCGCTTGTTGCAAAGTGTTTTGACGCTCGTCTTCATCACATGACACATTTAACACGCTGTCATTGGTTGAGGAGCTTTGTTTACAAAACAGATGTCCACTAGTTTTTTTAATTGTTTTAATTTCCTTACTTTCTAAGACACATTAAGTTGATTTGATGCTACAATTTGCCTTGTAATATTATTTTATACCTTTTCTGCTACATTTGCATTGGCTATTATTAAGTTTTACTAGTTTATTTTAAGATGCTTCCTACAAAAACCAGAATGTAAATCTTCTAAAATTTCATGGTGATATCTTGAACACTGAGGAAGTTATGAGCAAAATTAGAAAACAACAAGGTGAAATGGTCACAAAGGCCACATTGGTTCTGCTGTGAACTGCAGCAAGAAAACATGAGCTGATTTCACCTAAACAAACAAACAACTTCCCTCATACCTGAGTTAATCACATAATTTTGGTGTTATTTTGTATGGTTTGTAATGTTCTTTTGGAATCTGCTGTCAGATTTAATATTGGCGTAGGATTAAAAATGCATCCTCATCCCTACACACTGCCCTGCATGTTTTAGTTGTTTCCCTGCTGCAGCACAGCTGATTTCAATTGACAACTGATTAACAGGCTTTTGTTGAGCTGCAGGTTTGTCAAAGCAGGGAAACTTGTAAAACATGCAGGGCAGTGTGCCTTGAGGATCAGGGTTGGGAAACACTGATCTAAAGATCCATTTGTGTTTTTCCCTGATGTTTCAAGCACTTTTGTTACAGAAAAGAACCAGTTGTCAGATTTTATTTTTAAATAAAACATTTTTTTCCCCCAAAAAGAACAATTACATTTATTCAAGCTTTATTTTTGCTTCAGACGACACTCCAGACTGATGAGATCAAGAATGTGCCTTGTGGAACAAGGTACAACTAACTTTACTGAAATGGCTGTTAAAAGGTGATCCTGTTTTTAAAATGGTAATGTATTGATCTCCTTGTGTTTTTTCTTTCTCTCCACAGTGGCGGTGTGATGATTTATTTTGACAGGATAGAAGTGGTTAACATGTTGGTCCCTTCAGCAGGTACAACCGGTTTAGATCTGTTTATTTACAGATGGACTGATTTACCTTGATCCCAGTGTGGTAAGACTATACCTGGTTTTTGTTGCAGTGGTCGACATTGTGAGGAATTACACTGCTGATTACGACAAAACTCTAATTTTCAACAAGATTCACCATGAATTGAACCAGTTCTGCAGTGTGCACACGTTACAGGAGGTCTATATTGAGCTGTTTGGTGAGAAATTTGTTTAATATTTACGTAGCTCCTATTTCTAAATGTATACTAATGTAGATGCTTTTTGATGTTTTTAAAGATATTATTGATGAAAACCTGAAGACTGCGTTGCAGAAAGATCTTAATGCTATGGCACCTGGACTGACAATCCAGGCAGTTCGTGTTACCAAACCAAAGATCCCCGAGTCTATCAGGAGGAACTTTGAACTCATGTCAGTTAAGAAGCGTTTACTCACAGGCGTAGAGTTTCCCTGTAAACCTCCCACTCAGTTCAAGTAATAACAAAGTAAGCTGTTTTCGTGAACATGTTTGCCTGTGTTGTTTTGTGTTCGCCTCCACAGGGAAGCAGAGAAAACCCGTCTTCTGATAACGGCTCAGACTCAGAAAGTCGTGGAAAAAGAAGCAGAGACTGAAAGGAAGAAAGCCATCATTGGTAAATGTGGAGCTTTATCCTCAATTGCCATACTTCTTTTTTTTTTTTTTGCCTGATTGTCCATAAATCCCTACCAGCCTGCTCGTTTTTTATATTGTTCACAATCGTTTTCTGTTCTGCAGAGGCTCAGAAAGTTGCTCAAGTTGCAGAGATCCAGTTCAAACAGAAAGTCATGGAGAAAGAGACGGAGAAGAAGATCTCTGAAATAGAAGGTTACTCTTGGTTCCTTTTCCCCTCTCTCTGTGGTCTGTTCTGGTTTAGTTTGTCATGTGTCTCTATAAACACTGTTTATTTGTTTCAGACGCTGCTTTTTTGGCCAGAGAGAAGGCTAAGGCTGATGCAGAATATTACACTGCTGCCAAGTCTGCTGAAGCAAACCGGGTAAAAACTTAAATTTTAAATGTTACACAGAATTACACTCAAGAAAAATATTAAAAGATTAGCTTTTTATTGTAATATTACTGTTAATGTAATAACAGGGAAGACATGATTTCTGTTAGGTGCTTTTTCTAACCTTTAGTTGCCTAGTCTTAAAGAATTTGATTTAACCTCATAATACAAACAAATCTGCTGTAACAGCATGAGTCAGTTCTCTGATAGACACAGAATATTAAAGAAATGCATATTTTATTTGATAAGACGAGGCCAGATGGTGTTGATTTAAAAAAAAAAAGCCACCTGGATAGGACTTTTCCCAGAAATGGAATGCTCTGATTAATTGTATAAATATCCTGCTCGGCTGAATCAGATACTGTTCATACTTCTGACTAAGCACTGATGCTGAGGTCTTTCTCCTGGCTCTTTTACAGCTGAAGCTAACGCCAGAGTACCTGGAGCTGATGAAGTACCAGGCGATAGCAGCTAATAGTAAGATCTACTTCGGCCAGGACATTCCTAACATGTTTGTCGAAGGAAACAACAGCCCCTCGAAGTCTGCTCCCTCCCCCAGTTTGCCGAACGCTGAATCGAACTTGTTTAGAGGAAAACCAAAGGAGCACTGAGTCCACAGCTCCGCGAAGGACAGGCGAACTTGATCACGGTCGGTCTTGTCACTGAAGCTGATGAGAGGGGGGTGGGGATTAGCTTTGCAACCAGTTTGGTGAACGGCACGTTTCAGGCTTAAAACTAAATGTCTAAAAGAGTGAAAAAGTGAAGAGAGAAGTGGGGACGAAGAGTTTTTAACCCACCTTTTGTTCTGTGTGGGGAAACGTGAATCGGCAAGAGTGATGCCATAGTCTTAAAAATAAAGATAAAAATGCTTCTGCCTGAGAAGGTGACAACAAATGGTCACCCTGATCTTTATGTGCTTTATTAGTACGTTTATTTCTCTGATTTTGGAGCTGCTTTCATTGTACGTTTTATTTTTTTGAGGAATGATTTGTGTTGGTGAGGTTTTGATGATTTGTGAGAATTAACTTCTGGTTTTGCTGCACTGAAGTCTGACAGGTGACACTAATTAAAAGCTGGAAGGTTTATGTAAATTAACATAATTTAAGTCATCTCTGTGCCATCTTTTTTTCTTTCTGAGTCAGTCGTTGGCTGTGTCAGAACACGAGTCTGTTAAAACCATTTAATTGCACTTCAGACCCTGCTCATGGTGGATTTTGACAGGCAAATTAAAGAGCAGCATACAAGTAAATTTTATCTGGCTGAAGTCCTCCAGCTTAGTGTTGAACATTGAATTGCAGTGGATGAATGATGTCAGGTTGTTATAGTTGTTTTTTGCAATTGTTGAGATCTGCTGACCTACTTTGGCATTTACATTGATGTGAAGGGGTAAAAATAGAAAAATAGTCTGATTTTTAACCCCTTATTCACCTCTGCAGGTGGCCACTACCAAACAAGAAGTTTATTTGTTCTCAGAATGAAGAGAAGCCAGCACATTTCTTTGTTTTTTCTGGTTTTTGATCGACGCGGCTGTGCATGCACAAGTACCTCTGCTTGATTCGGATGATTAATAGAGCCTGTGATCGTCTGCCAACTCTCCTCACGTTGTTAAATGTAAATTCTCAGGAAATGACAGTTTTTTAAAAAGACAGCTGTCTAAAATCAACCAAAACCACTTGGCTATAGTCTCTTTTTTTAAAGAATTTAGCTGAAATAAACCTACAGATGTGTAAAATGACAGTTTGATTACACCACTACATATTAGAAATCAATCTTTAGCTATCAATGATTACTTTTTTTGTAATTATAGAAATGATTAACTGGAAATGTTTATGGGATTTACTAATTAGAGTTGTTTTAAGGGATTTCTGGCAACACAGAGCTTCTAATTTCAAAAGTGCTAAAAACGTGTGTGAAAATGAATTGAATCTGTCGCAACAATAACTCAACACTTCTCAGAAACTGTTCTTGTTCCTTTTTCGAATTAAAGGTTGATGTGGTTTGATTAAAATGATTCAAGTTGGTGCTAGTTTTTCTTTTTTTAAAGTTTAAGCTTTTCAAGCTTTGTGCTTCAATAAATGAATTCTTTTTTCACTATTCAGAATTCAAGCCTTAAACGAGAGAGGGTTTCCCAAAACTTGCAGACTGAAAGATTCAAATTAAAAGGCACCTTTTGGATCCTAGTTAGGTTTAAAAAAAATAAATGACTGTCACTTCACGTTTAAGCTTTTGGAGGTACCCTGCTGTTTACGCAACTGCCCCGCTGCAGGTAAAGGTTGCRCTCTGCGTTGATTTGGTGATGGGTTCAAATAAAAATGCAAAAGAGGTGTCAATATTTTGTACAATCTGTGACATGTTAAACATTGTTTCCTTGTTTTAAAAGGTTTATATGCAAAAAAAACTGTTTTTCCAGGTTTTGACAATGTTCTGTAAAATAAAACCTATTTTGGTACCTCTCTGCTCTGTTGGTGTGTGTGGGTTGTGTAGTACTTSTGGGTGCCAACAGGAGGCGAGCTAACACTGGGTTGAAGGAGTAAGGATGTGTGGTTTGATGTAGTTAATCTAAATGATGGACTCAGTATAGGGTTAATAAATACAACGTAGAAGTAATATAGTTGAGGGGGAAAAATGTTTGGAATAAAATAATTGCATGGGACAAACTAGTGTGTTGACGCATAACTTTAAAAAGAAACAGTTTTAGGTTGCCTTTTGAGGTATTTTGTTAYCACCAAATGGAATTATTTTATTTCTTTAGCTGTATCTGGACAAAATGCTTAAATATAGCAGTTAGATGAAATTAAGTAAACTATATAGCACTTTTCACAGACACAAACATCACAAAGTGCTTAACAGAGAGCAAAATAACTTAAAATAAAACAGATCACAAATGTATAAAAAAACCAACTATTAAAACAGTAAGAAGCACTTAACTAAAAGTCTGTGAATAAAAATGTCTTAAGATGTTTCTTAAAAGTCAATCTGAACAGCAAAGGGACAGAGGGAAAGGGTTCCAGAGCCTCGGGGCCATGAAATACTACTTTTGTACCAAAAAGTACTATTCCTGAAAAGCTTGTGCCTTAAACTTTATATGTTTTAAAATCCCCAAAAACAGCAGGAGTTACAAATGGTTTTCAAAGTTTAAGAATGTGACAAATGAGTTATGGCTTCCTCTCATGACCCCTCTGGCCCTTTGGGTCGTCTGGTATCCTTAAAAGCCAAATCATTAGTCTTTGCTTCCTGGTGGGAGGGTGTCTAGCTTTTGGCTAACCCCAAAGAGAAATACAATCTCGAGTAAAAATAAATACTATTCATCTTCAATTCTTTGCTACACTTCAGATTTTTGTGTTTGTTGGCTTGTAATGTCATTGGTTCTGCTGACATTTCCCAGGAAAGTAAAGGTGAAGGTTGGGTTTTTTGGCTTCCTGGCTGAACCGTCACTTTTCTTTCTTTTTTTCCTTCCTTTCATGTCTGATCTTCCCTAAGATCAATCTGACCCTGACGCTCTCCTGGATGTGTCCGTCCACAGAGACAAAAAGGGTGGGGTTCCTCATCACTGAGTAAATCCAGACCCCCAAACGGCAGCTTTCATCAATAACTGTTCTGCAGCCCTCTCTGTTCGGATGAGTCAGGGCTACTTTACTGTAACTCTCGTGGCTTTAAGTCATCACTTAAAACTGCAAACAGGCTGACAGACTCGTTCTTTGTTACAATGAGCTGAAGCAGCAATTCTTACTGGAGGCTAAAAACTGACTGGCTTTTTATTTATTTTATTTTGTTGAAGGGATGCATATCACGGTGTATGTTTCTGACTATTGAGAAAACTTGTGTTACGTGTCTAAACTGTTTTCACACTTACACCAGGTTTCCTTGTAACCGATGAAGTAAAGTTTCACAGAAAGGAAGGAAGGGGCGTGTTGACATTCATACAATTTATTTGGTGACAAGCTGGTTCACGTCAACGCCTCACAGAGTTAAATTAAACCCATTTGAAGCATTTATCTTGGTCAGCTGATCAATCCTTATGTCCTTTAACTCCAACAGATGCTCCAGCTTCTCCACTTTGGTCTGCAGGATCTACACAAAACGGAGCAAATGCTTAATGGTTACTTTTTAAATTGTGTGGTAAAAGGAGAAGTTGAACACGTGTCATCATTTTTTTTTCCTTTCATGCAGATGTGGCAAAAGACAAGAAAAAAAAAGTGTATATCCGCTGAGCCACTGGTGAGTCATGGCTCACACAGGGTATGACACACCAAGCTTATGTGCAACAGCAATAACAGGAGGTTATGAAAAAGCTCTTTCTTTGCAGGGCATAAAAAATCCCAAGATAATTTTGTCAGCTGAGTGGGGTTTTTTTTTTTTTTTTTTTTTTTTTTGGATGCTGAATTTACCTTCACAACTTCCTGTAAATCCAGGATCACTTGATCTTTTTCAAAGATGAATTGTCGTAGAAGAGTGGGCTCCCTGACCGTGTAACAAGACTCCACAACCACTTTCTGTTTCCTGTAGGGTCAAGAAAGACACCTTTAAAAATGTATAAATAAAGAACTAGCAACACATTTTACCGGCCACATTTCATGCCAAAGTCTAAGATAATTTTAGGTTGAGAAATGACAGAGTTTTATTATCTGGATCAATTAAAGTAAAATTAAACTTTTCAGTAAAATTTCAATAAACACTGCCCAGTGGGTCATGAGATATTTTGCTAACAAACAGATACATGCAGGCAAAAACGTCCTCTGATATAATTTTATATTTTAAAAAAATTGTCCATACATGGTTTTCTGTATGTTCTCCTCATCGATTTTCATTTTTGCCAGTTGTGCCAGAATTCTTGCTTCAACCTCATGAATTGCTAAAAAAAAAGAACAAACAAATCAAATACATGACATTTCTTCAACTACAAAACTGAAGATTTATCTATGAGATTATAGGATGACAGGCAAATGGGTGATGAACACAACCACAGATAAAGAAGCGAGATAAGAAGCTGAAGAAAGAAAACTCAGTCACACTGCAGTGTTGAGCTCAGAACAYGTGATAAAGACCGTCTGGAAGTTAAGAACTGATAAAGAAGTCCTGGGCCCTGTTGTGTCTGATAGTGGAGGGTGCAGAGGGAAGAACAGGGGGAGGGGGTTTTAGAGGAGRAAGAAGTGTGGGAAACGGAAGAGACACATACTATATCACTGATTCAATCCCTTAAAGCTGTGGCATTTCTCTTCAGGCCCCCTTTTTTTTTTGCCTTCATAGAAGTTTTGTCTGTTTTGTGTGGTCTCTGATATCGAGCTGTTAGCAGGGCTGACAGTTTCAGGATAAGCAAGAAAACCGGTGGTAGAATGAGCACTGATAGCTGTTGTGAAATAGCTGATTTATGCTGACTTAGCTTACACACATATAAAAAATTGCTACAGAAAATCTAAAAATGCACACATTTCCCCTTTAAAGCTAAAAAAGGCACATTTTGGGTTTTGTCAGCAAATATTTTCAAAAGTTAACTCTTAACACAAGCATACGTGTTGCCGATGTTTCATTTGGATACACAGTCATCACATGACATCACATATTTTAATTCAGTTTTAGTTTGTGTGATCTAATCCAACTTTGTGACTCAAAACGAAATTTTTAACAATGTTTTTTAAGGTGAAGAGAGGCTTGAAAAGCAATGGTTTTTAATTAAAATTAAGTGAGGTCCACCTATTGAAAATTTTTCTCTAAAGGTTCAGATTGGGCTAACTAAACACCCTGTAAATATCAGAAAATGTGTGCAAGTCAAATCAATCTGAATTTATATATACATATATATTAAAGGGAACATGTGCAAAATTTAGTCTTTAAATACATTTTGTTGTGTACTTGGAGTCTCTATGAGTGCAAAAAATTAGAATTTAGTCTCTCCCAATGAAAGAGGGGCTTGTGGAGTTACAACAAGGAGGAATTTAGACCAAAGCGTTGCAGTTCCACTTTATATAGACCCCAAACAGAATGATTTAAATGTGGAAAAAGAAGGATTTAAAAAGCATAAAATAGCAATTTATTTAATTTAATCAGGGTCCAGATAAGACTTCAGTTTAGGTCCAGATCCAGACTATTTGTTCTGTGAGTCCGTTTACTTTAAACCCAACTCAGTGTTGACTGATTTACCAAGAATATTAGAAAAGACAAACATGTTGGTGATTGTTTAAAGGTAAAAGTAACTTCACCTTCAGGGGTTTTTTCCAGGGTTTTGATGTCAACATTGTCCAAAATCTAAAAAAAAAAAAAAAAGGAAACAATTATTTAAAATGAAGAGAAAGCCTTAGGTTTTTTTTTAGCTTTAATATTTCACATGACACATTGTATTGAAGTCTGAGTACTGGTTTCTTGCTTGCGATGTCCGCCAGCTTTCTGTCAATTTTCTCCCTGAGCGTGCTGAGWACGGGCTCAATCGCACCGGGAGAGCTCAGAACAACCTCGCTTATGACTTCCTCTGGCACGTAAAAATCCAGCTTCGGAAACACCTTCCTGTTCACACAGAATAAAGAAAACGGCATGTGTTTTCGATGAAACAAAACAAAGGGGAAAGCAAATTGCCTGTGAGTAACTGATGAGTCTACGGGGACAGCTGTATGTTTATAGTTCAGGCCTATAAATCCTATCAGTGAGCAGGGTGAGGCTCAGTGGGTGTCTGCTGAATGTCTTCTCATGACCAGATGAAGAAAAAAAGTTTCAGCTCAGTGTTTGTGGCAGGAGTATGAGGCAATAAAAGAGTATTTATACTTTAGGAAACTGGGTTTTAAGGGTGTTCTACAGTCAGATAGTTAGATTTGCACTTTTTTTTAGCTCCTGAATACAAATTTCTTAAGGTTTTTAAATCACAGAACTTATCCAAAGGATTTTCAAGCACAACATTTAGAGTATAAAATATGTGCAATATCTACGAGCTCCTTTGTTCGATCAGAATATTTTTCTTTGTTTTCAATCATTCATTGGAATTGCTTAAAGTTTTAGTCATACTAAATGCATACTACGTCAACACATGTCAAGAGGATGCAGGTTTATTTTTACACCTAAAAGCCTCCATTTTGGTATATTTTGTCTGTTTTGTTTGTTTCATAGACACTGTTGTCTCAAACATACCTTTCATCAACAACAGTCTGTTTTTTCTGTGTATTTTTTTCAACAAAGCTAACCTATTTAAAGCAAGATTTTTTTTAGTGTGCCGTGTTTGGTGCAGACATAAACTACTCTAGTTTTGGAGAATTAAGTCGAACTGAGTCAAATTTAATTCACATAAATTTACAATGCACACCTAACTTTACAGCTCTTCTTCATAAAGTTTCTCCTAAATTCCAAACAACCCTTTATGATGGTGAAGGTTCTAGGGGCGGGGCCACAGGGGAATTGGCCCCACATGAAATCTGATTGGCCCCCTGAAGTGCCCCTGTCCCTGTCACTCATCTGTCCTTTGCCTGACATTGGGTGGGTGCAGTTTTATGTCCAAACACTAGTGGCGCTAATGAGTCAAATGAAAGTCCNTTGCCAAAATGATTATTAAATAATAACTTTTCATCAGCCTGTGAAACAGTTRGTTTTAACATGTTCCCAGACAGCTGTCATCACAAACAGTTATTTAAGATCATGTGAAAACTAAAAGGATGGGGGGGAAACAGCATAAACATATAAATTAGTATATTCTGAGGGGGGAAAGTGATTCTTTTGTTTGTTTTTTTGAAAATATTTCAAATTTAGAAGAAGGTGCCAAACTTTATGACTGCACATTTAACAACCCTCAGTGTAATAATAAGAATGATACCAACAATAACACTAATAAAGTTTCATCTCGCCTGTTGAGGAGGCTCCAGTTTCTGAGTTTCTCCTCTCTGGAGCTGAACGGAACCGTCAGGCTGCTGAGGTCAACAAACTTTGGGAAAAAATGTTTAATGACCTCGGCGACCAACACTGCAGAGAGTCCAGCAGGAAAACGGTCAGTTCACTGGTAAATACAAATAAAACAAGTAAAAAAAAAAAAAAACTAGCTTTAGCTGCTACAGGCTAAAAACAGAAGCTAACTGTGCTACCTCCGTCGCTGAAGTCTCTCCTTAACTTTCGCTTGGGTCTGGAAAACGGKATCTTATCCAGCCACGAAAGTAAGTTTTCAATTTCATAATCTTCAAGCTTTCGATCCATTTTGTTCTTAAGGCAACCACTGTTTTCTGACGTATTAAAACGATGCTAATATCTACTAGCTACCTTACATTTTTTTTTTGACAAAATGTTTTTGTTTACACGTTGCTAGGCAACCCCTGCTACGGAAGCTCAAGGAAAGACCCCCAATTTATCGTGACAATCTCATTTATTGTGATAAGAACGTAAAAAAACACACACAACTCAAAACCATTTCATTTTTATGATTGTAAAACTAACAAAACATTTTTCTAGAATTACAATTAAAATACATAAAGTACCCATAATAACCACAAAGCAATAAAAACTAATTTCTGTTAAAACATCCAAATAAAGTGTCCACGTTTGTGCTCAGAACCGATCATTTCATCATACAGACGAGCTGTAATTTATGTTCAAAAGAGAGAAAAAGATTCACRAAGATGAGAACATTCAATACGACCACAAACAGATGCATCAAGTAGATCCACAGCTCATAAAACAATTATTAATAGGCACTAAAGTGATCTGTTTAAGACACAAAACAACCACAGAAGGTGTAAAAATACATAAACATCCAAAAATGAGAGAGACAATTCAGTCATGAAAAATAAAACTGACAAAACTTATTACAAAACATTGTAAAACATCTGCTAAATAGAATACAAATCTAAAAAAAAAAAATACTGGGACAGCTGTCCAGTTTAGAAGAAGCATTTTAAAATCCCTTTTTGTTTGTTTTTCTTTTTTTTTAAGAAGGCAGTACTGGACCAACATAAAAAAGTAACATTTATTACCATTATGACACTGAGCAGGTTTTATGCTTTACAGCATAGTGATTTTCAGTTTACATTAGGTTTTGATTMTGTTTTAGAAATTGTCTTTACATTTAAAAATAATACATTATAAATTTCCCTGAATATGAGGATGTCTAAATATCTGGGATAACAACTTAACCTGGTTTCAGGAAGTAGAGTAAAATATTAAATAAATAACCAGGAGACCTAAAAATGTCCAGTCAAACCATGAAAAGTGTGCCCTTGTAAACAAATGCGTTTTATAGTGCAGTTGGCCGRTAAAGACTTGACAAATTAGATAATCCTATTAAACACTGCATCAAAATTCAGCATATCAGCAGAATTATTCGCCTATTGTCTAAAGCACTCAAATTGAGTTTGTTAAACAGATTTCTACCAACAGTGACAACGAGATGCAGATGTGGCACGGCAACTGGTACAACACTTCATTTCTCTGATTCCTTGGTGGATCTTGATTCCACACAAAAACAGACGAGTATCTCCTGAAAGGATCTTCTTGATCCTTCAAAATGGGATACCCCCCACCCCCCACCCAAAAAAAAAAAAAAAAAAAAAACCTGTCAGAAAATGTCAAACCAGGGTGAGTTATTCCCACTGTCATCTTGGCCTGCTGGGGGGCTTCAGGGCAACTCTCCCTCCGAGCTAGAAACACAAACAAACTCTGTTAACGCTCTTTGGATGAGCTGGAAAGTGCTTATTTCATCGTGTCAGAGTCTCAGTTATTTAGTCAGGAGGAGTTTATATGCCTATTAAGTTCCCAACCACTGTTTATCCATTACACTGCTGTTGGGACAAAGCCGAAAGCCACAGGTTTCTGTTTAAGGGAGAATGCCTTTAATAGCATGAAGAAATGTCTGATGCTTACTGCAGCTCTGTCAGTGGTTGGAAAKTCTGTCTGATTCTGTCTGCTGTCTGAAAACATACCAGCTGTGTATGTGGCAGTGAGGACGGGGCTGCAGAGGGCTTCTTCGGAGGCATCGGAGGCTTMGGCTTCTGTGAGACAGAATGGTCATAATTCAGCCACGGAAAAGTACAATCACGTGTGTGAAGGCAAAAAACCAGGGTTCAAGTTCTTGAAGTGTCACGTACTGGTTTGGATGCAAGTGGTGGCAGCGGTCTGGTGGGAGGTAGTGGTTTAGTCTGTAATGAAAACAACATGCAAAACGTCACTATAAAGAAACTGCAGTTTTTGTGAAAACTCAGCATGACTAACTTTTGCGATTTACTGAAGCTAAACCTGAATTAGCAAAGTTAAAAAACATGCAAAACAATATTAGAAACTCTAATTAGTGAAACTGTCTATTTGCTAAATTGAGCTAAATGGCAACTAAAGCTACACATTTGCAAAACTAGCTAAAAGTAGCACAATGGTAGCTAAAAGGTGAAATTAGTAGAACTGTAGTTAACGTCTAAAAGTAGCTAATTGGTAGCTAAAACATCTCAAACATGTTTTGTCATCTTATGCTACCTTTAGCTTATACCTTCTTTTCTCCAGTGTAAAAGCTAAACACTGGAGAAAAGAAGGTATATGCTAAAGGTAGCATAAGATGACAAAAAAATGTGCTAATGTGCTGAAGCAAATATCAACAAGAAGAATATTTTGAAGGCAATAAAGAGATCTCAATGTATTTCTATTTTTTTATTAAGTCAATTATTTTTTAAAGGTATAAAATTTAAACAAGAAGTCATAGAAAACGATTACAAATCAAGCTTAAAGTATTGATTTATATAAACAGTTAAAACAAAGAACCAAGCATACAGAAGTACTTTCGGTCCAAAGAATGTTCAGAAGGTAGTATGCACACAATAAACAATTGAAACAATGTTATTAAAAGTGAATTTACCTCGTTATGTGCTGGAAGACTGGAAATCGCTGGTGGCTGCATTAATATCCTTGTAACCTTAAAAACAAAAGAGGAAAAAAATGTTTGCAACACAATCAATGCAAATTAGGTTGCTTTTAAAAACAATTTAAAAAAATGCCAAATTAAGAAATTTGATTACCTGCTGAACCTTAGATGGCTTAGGTGCATCTGGAGCTTTCCTGGGAGGCTGTAGGGAGAGAAAACAGAAACCTTACTGTGTTTTGCAGCCTGAGCTCATAATGGTTTGTCCGTGACTAAGAATTGCACATTAGTTGTCAGTGTGTGGCTCTGTGACGATTCCGCAGGCACACGTTGGCTGTGTCTGCAGCTTGAAATTCAAACCAAGTTGCCACAAATGGAAATCTTGTGTCTGATATAAAAGTGTTAATATGAATCTAACACATGCAGCGTCGGTGTGTGATTACACTCTGGCGTTAAGGCTGGGTGACTGAATGGAGCGCTCACCTCTGGAGCCGCTCTGCAGGGCCTCGGAGCTCCGGTCGGGGGTTTGACAGCAGCAGAGCTCAGAGGTTTGTAGGCTTGACTGGCAGATGACTCCAAAAATGTGGGTTGGCTGATTTGTGCCGGCCCGAGACGAGGACTGCCTCGTGGAATACTGGTCTGAAACACTGGGTTCGATTGTCCTGAGGTCACTGGAAGGAATCTGTGAAAAAAGTGACGGGAGCTTGAACTTAAGCTGAAACCAATGCCTTTATGTAAGTTTGATAAAAAATATATATAAAAGGGTCACAATATTTTCTTTTCATTTTCTGCACCTTTTTGTGTGTGGCCTTTTTCTGATGCAACACATCAGACTCCCAATAACCAGGACCAGCAGAAAAAGCAATCCAACCACCAGGGACACACTAAGAACAACCAGGCCCGGCTCTACACACACAAATACACACGAGATAAGGTCAGTGTTATTTTATTACTGGATAACAACAACATWCATCAGCTGCTCAGGAAAACAAAATCTACTGCAATATTATTGAATTGCTCCGGCTAATAAGGAAAAGAAATTCAATCAGCGTTTGTTTTTGCTCGTCAGGAAGGAAAAAAAAAGCAAAACAAAAACAGAGTCGTCCTCGCATCGATATTAAAAAGATCAAGCGTTTAATGAGGGGGAAGCTATCTGTATTTGAATGTGAATACAGTACGAGGGAAGAAAAATCAGACATAAACAATACCTTCGGTCAGCTCTGACAGCTTCACGTCGCAAAAAGGAGGCGCCCAGCCAGGATGGCAGTGACATGTACTCTCATGGTTGCACACCTGTCAAAAAGATCTCCCGGTTAATTGTGTTGTCTTCACAGTATCTCGACTTGATGAGATTTCCATTTTCACGCAGCTTCTCACCCCGCGGTTGTTGCATTTGGACGAGCAGTCGTTTGTTCCGTACGATTTGATGTTTTTGATGTCTTCACATTTTTTATTGAAGCACACCTGTCAGACAGGGGCGATGCAATGATATTGCAGCTTCCTTGAAGGTTTCATTTATGCGAAGAGTAAAAACGTTTCATTCACCATGTTGTCGCCACACTTGGTGCCAGTAGGCACCATCCCGAGGTCTGGTGGGTAGTTGTCGTCAGGGTTCATGGTTGCCTCATTGCACATGGCTCCATTTCCTACTTTATAAAAGGACTTTTTGTTCGTCACTGGAAACTCCCTTCCTCCGGAGCAGAAAAGTGTTCCGCAAGATTGATCTCTGAAATCAAATTTCACAAACAACAGTTTCCAAATATCGTGTTTTTAAAATGCCGTCATTAGCGTTGTGGCTTTTTGCTGCTTACGGGCTGGAGCATCTTTGGGTAAACAGTGTCTTCCTGCAGCCTCCGTACAGATAGAAACAATCAGCGACAGCTACTTGAGCACCTAATCGTGAAAGAACGAATCGTAAATCTTCATGTTTCAGAATGAGCAAAAAACAAATTACCACTGGGGATTAAATTCACCTGGTCCCCAAAGCCTCTTGCAGTGATCCTGTCGTGACGGACATTGCCCGTTGAAGCAGTATCCCTTTCCGCGGTCGCACGGCAGACCGTTCTGGGTGAAGGCGTCAGCGGGACAGGCTGCAGAGAGGCCCGTGCAGTATTCTGCCAGGTCGCAGTCTCCGGATTTCGGTCGGCAGATGCTGCCTGTTGGTTTCAGCTGAAAGTGTGGCGAGAAACAGATGGTGATGTACCGACGACTGAAATACATCCACTCACAGAAAACCAGCCAGACAGAACTCTCATTCTGTCACTGCACTTACATATTTAGTACCAGTCTGGCTCTTCTCGCAGTGAGTAGCAGTACTTACTTGGCAGTTGTGGCAGCACTCTCCTTCTGCACACTGAGCTCCCACATTCAGCTTGCAAGTGGTGGCGTTGCAACAGGGATTCTTGCATTCCTATAAAACAGTATGCATCAAATTACTCATCTTTGTTGGCACGCTGCAAATGTGTACCTGTTTTTGAACGTAGCGTGCACCCACCTCCACAGTCCCACAGTCGCATTCTTCTCCGGGCTCTAAGAAGGCATTTCCACACACTGGCCCCCCATAGATCCGCTCAGTGGAGGGAGTGTCCAGCAGACAGGCAGGGTTGACCTCCTCCAGGAAGGCGCTGAGCTGCTGCTGACTGCAGCTGCTGAAGTGCTTTGGGTACTCGAAGCTGGAGGATGGACGCAACCAAACAAAGACACGAGAAAGAAACCACCATCCCATGTTAAAATCTCAAAGTAGACATGGTTGGGTGCAGGTGGATAACTGAGCTTACCCAACGCTCTCAGCCATGATGCAGCCTTTTTTGGATGCAAAGGATCCACAGACGCATTCCTCAGTATCGTGGACCAAGCCCAAATTGTGGCCCATCTCATGTGCTATGGTGGAAGCCACTCCAATTGARTTGGTGTTATGATCCTGTGTGAATCAAAAAAACAGGTAGAAGTTCAACTTAGATCCCATGATTCCTTTGTGTTACGCTTAAATTTCCAAAGTACCTCATTGATGGCTCCGGAATTCGATGTGCACATGGCTTTGGTGTTTGCCAACCCAACAGTGGAGCCAATAAAATCGACGCCTCTGAAAGATGATGAAGAAAAAGAAGGTTTAAACGTCTTGAAACCTAAGCCCGTTCGTTTAGCGAAGCTTCAAAGCAGAAGCATCTCACGTGATGAACTGAGCGTTGTCGTGTCGGCTCCTCGGCAGCAGGCGCTGCTTGCGCCACTCGATGAAGCGAACGAGCGTGAGGTCAACGTCGGCGCTGACCTCAATCTGATCACTGTAGGTCCAGATTTCCAGTCCGACCAGCATCACACGGACTCCCACAGGGCGATACAACTGAAATAACAGAGCTCGTTAGCGCCGTGAGCAGAAATCCTTTCCAATGCGTATTTTTGGGTAAAACACACAATCACTTGTGCCACAAAACAAATGATAGAAAAGGAGCTGTTGGGAGGACTACTGTTCTTTTTATGTTTCCTAATACCAAAGAATACAAAAACGATTGCAGGAAATGTGTGACATTTTTCAGCTTAGGTGTGAAGACTCACGGCTAAAGCTAGCGTACGCAGTGAGAGAACTTTTCCTTCCCTTTTTTTATGTTTCTGGTCAGATTCCAGTCAGAAAAGGACAAAATATCAGGACATGCAGTATTTTTCTGAATGTACTCCAGCGTGAAAGACTGATGAAGTTCGGGGAGTGGGGGATAACTGGCAGTTTGGATTAATTTTTTCTGACAAGCTGATTGGAACAAACGTACCTTATCTACATGGTTTGCTATCTCGAGCATCCTGGCCTCTACGGTCCTCTTACTGCCAAATTTCTTGTACTATAAAATAGATCATTTAAATTAGAATCACAGTTCGTGCATCCTGCAAAACACTCTTCTGTTATATATATTTTTAAATTATCTTTGGCTGTACCACAATCACACGATCAACAAGAGGAAATAAAGCGGGGAATCAAACCTCGGTGTTGTCCACTACCAAAACCAGCTCCACCGTTCTGGGTTTGCCTTTACCGTCTTTGGTCTGGGCTCTGCTTTTCTGAGAAACAACAATAATTATTAAAAACTTGGCATTAATTTATGGAATGCATATTGTCCACTGCCTTTCATGTCCAAGTTCAAACTAAGATCTTGTGCTAATGAGGTTTTAGCAGTTTTGTTGCATAGCTCTGGTGTAAGTACATTTTCACTCTACTTAGTCCAGTTTTCAGAGTAAGAATCTACAAGAAATTGAATGAAACTAGAGAGAAACTTCATTTCCTGCAAAACTGCTAGTGTGAATGCTTCATGCTGAAAACTTAAGCTGAAAGTTGCTGAAATTGATCTGAAAATATTTAATAGGAAATGCATTAACGTGAGCTCACTTTGAAAAGCTGAAAGAAGCAAACAAGCCTAACTTTGCAGAAAAACAGTAAAAAGGAGCACAAATCTAGTTGAAACCAGAAAACAGCTAAAAGCTAAGAGCTAAAATAGCTGAATATAGCAGAAAGCATCTGTAAGATGCATAAATAGCACAAAGTGGCAGAAAAACAAAAAAGTAAAAAGAGCAGAAGAATAATGGAAAAAAGCTGAATTTTATCTGAAATAAAAAAGCTAAAATTATTTAAAAAGTAGCTAAAATTAGCACAAGAAAGTGAAAATGAGCATAAACAGAAAAAAATTGTGTTAGGTTTTGTAAAGATTTAGAAACATTTTAAAGGAGTTTAAGGACGTTGAAAATAGCCCCATTCATTTTCAATGGCAAAAAAGTGTCTAAAAAAATGAAATAGCTTAAAAAAAAGTATAAATAGCTGAAATAACCAGTCATAGCACCCCTCACATGAATGAGCTGAACGTTTTCATATATGAACTGTTGAAATAGCACAAAAACTGTGGAGAGAGTTAGAGGCCGAAAAACGTAAGGAAGAAAAAATGATCTCAACGGTGTGAATGAGATGAAGCTTTCACACAATAAGCAACAACTATGGTGATCATTTAAATCACTTGCACTATTATACTGCACGCCACTTTCAGTGCCGTTGTCGAATGTTTTAGTTGTCTAAATTCCAGTAATTTATGAATGTGTCCACGCTGTCTTTACCAGGCTGCCAAGCTGGAAGAGTCCAGACGGACGAGCGCCGTGATCATAGAAAGTGCTTGTGTTTCCATGGGAACAGGAGCTCCTCTTCCTCCTCAGGTGTTTGTAGTTGTAAACAGCGTGAGGACGGCTGTCGCCGGGAGCCTCGGAACCCTGACCGTCGTCTCGCCGTCCCGTCTCCTCACCTGGCAGAGGTTCAATGAGGTACATCTCGTCTTGGAGGGTCACAAATCCCCTGAAAGTGTGGAAGAAGTTTGAAAGTTTGACTGAGTGATGTTTTCACATATTGGGTTTTACGCTTTAACTCTTAGACTCAGTCTGTTCTGCTTATATGTCTCTCTTTTTAGATGTATCTTTTTTTAAAAAGAGGGGAATACAGCAAACTGACTCACTTCATTCCTGAGCACAATTCAATGCTGGCCGAAGAGTCCTTCACTCCCACGACATGTCCATGGTAGTAACAGTGAACCTGAAAGGGTATTTAAATGTAACTTTTATAATGGATTTAGTTGTTGTGAGATAGATAGTTTTGACCTTATAAGTCATTTCCTCTTCCACAGGAAATTGTCACCCCTTAAAATGARGAACTATTTAGTCAAGAAATTGTGTCATTTGATTCTGTGTAATAAGTTACACGACAGCTGCGTCACTTCATTAAACAAGACTGTTACCAAACCACAATAAATAAATAATATTAGCTCTATTTAACCACACAGAATAATTAAAACCTTCTGTTCTTCAAATCAGATTTTACAGTCCAGACACAGTTTCCCAACATAAAATACTACTACTAATTAAAACAAAAAGTTACAAACCGTATAATCTGGAGTATCTGTCATTTGGGTGCCCTGATCAGAATAGTGTGTCACAGTAAAGTTATTTCCCACAAGATTTCTGAAAAGGCACATATCATTATTATAGACACGTTTACAGTAATACAAGCAGTGTATGATACACACGAAAAATATTTTCTCACTTGTTCTTTTCCAGATGCAGAGTATAGTTTCCCCCTGCAATACTCACAGAGTATTGGACCGTATCAGGGTATTTCTGTTTAGGAGACGAGAAGATATTTTAACGTAAACTTTGAAATTCAAGCTGAAACGTGTGTGTGTGTGTGTGTGTGTGTGTGTGTGTGTGTGTGTGTGTGTGTTACCTTGACTTGGCTCT